CTGCCCCCGCCGACGACTCCGGCGTACAGTCTCCGCCTGCAGTTCGAGGGCAGCAGTCCGCTGTGTCGATACGGGAGCCTATGGGTGAATATCCCTCCTGCAGGCGAGGAGTTTCAGCGGGACAAGTACCGCGAGTACAAGTACGTTGCTAACTTATGCCATACATAACTAGTTACGGAGTACTAGATACTAACAGCTGGTTGACAGGCTGAAGCCGGACTTCAACAAAGACATCCACGTTGATATTCCCATCGCTATCTCTGGTGCTTTCGATTACTACTTCACTTACCGCCAGCTACCCAAGCTCTTTGGGCCGGGGTCTGGCTCTGATGCTGGGAAGGAGACCCGGTCTGAGACGTACTATCTCAATGTCCGCCCGGCCATCACTCTCAAGGGCAAAGCCCTGCCGCTAGAATCGCTATCTATATTTTCTGTGGTGTCCAAGTTCATGGGGGAGTATCCAACAGACTGGAACAAACACTTGCGTGGGATTGGAGAGAGGGGGTACAATGTTGTCCATTTTACTCCTCTTGTGAAGCGAGGGGCTTCAAACTCGCCGTATAGCCTTTACGACCAACTCGAGTTTGAAGAATGTTTCTCCAATGGACAGAAGGATGTGGCTGAGATGACGGCGAAGATGGAGAAGGACTATGGGCTTCTGGCGCTGACGGATGTTGTTTGGAACCATGTTGCACATAACAGCCAACTCCTTGAAGACCACCCAGAGGTAGGGTATAATATCAAGAATGCTCCGTGGCTTGAAGCTGCATTAGAACTAGACACGGCTTTATTGCAGTATGGAAATGACCTTGCGAAGCTGGGATTGCCTACAGAATTCAAGACAGAGGATGATATCTTGGTAGTGCTATGCAGAGCACGGGAAAACGTCATTGACAAGATAAAGCTCTGGGAGTTTTATGCTATTGATGTTGAAAGAGACGCTGCGGCAGCACTAAAATCGTGGGAATCAGACAATTATGAGGATGCTGAGCTTGGAAATGCAGAAGAGATTCGAGGATGGTCAATGGAGAAGAAGGCAAAGTTCCTTCGTCAGAAAGGGGTGACAAATGCCAACCGAGTTCTAGGACGATATGATCGGAAAGCGGACCCAAATATAACCGCTTCTTTCCTTGCAGCCATGTTTGGAAGACATACTGAGTCCAAGGCTGATGCATCGACTGTCAAGGCTGAACTCCGAAAGCTTCTTGATGCTGTTAACCTTCCCTTGTTCAAGGAATTTGACAAGGATGTCATAACTATTCTTGACCAGCTCTTTGGCCGGATAAAATACCTTCGAGTTGATGAACATGGCCCAAAGATGGGGCCTGTGAGCAATGAAAGCCCGCTTATAGAGACTTATTTCACCAGGCTTCCTTCGAGTGGTAAGAGAGACCCCAGGTTGCTTGCTCTGGCGAACAATGGGTGGGTATGGAATGCGGATGCGATGAAAGACAATGCTGGTCCGGACTCTCGTGCATATCTGTTGCGAGAGGTTATTGTCTGGGGCGACTGTGTCAAGTTGAACTATGGAGCATCGCGAGATGATAATCCTTTTCTATGGGACTATATGGCGGATTACTCCAAGTTAATGGCCAAGTACTTCATGGGCTTCCGCATTGATAACTGCCATTCAACCCCCATTCCGGTAGCCGAATATCTCCTTGACGAAGCTAGAAGAGTGCGGCCCAATCTAGTCATTTTCGCAGAGCTCTTTACCGGATCTGAGCAGACCGATTATGTATTTGCTAAAAGACTTGGTCTGACAGGGCTGATTCGCGAGGCTATGCAGGCTTGGAGTGCTGGCGAACTTAGTCGACTCGTTCATCGTCATGGAGGACGGCCAATTGGTAGCTTTGAGGCAGATCTGTTATCTCACAGTGACCATCGGGAATCCAACCAGATCGTTAGGCAGCTGCAATATACGCCTCTAAATGCCCTTTTCATGGACTGTACGCACGACAATCAAATGCCTGCTCAGAAACGTGAAGCGAGAGATACCCTCCCTAACGCTGCATTGGTTGCCATGTGTTCGTCTGCAATCGGGAGTGTGATGGGATATGATGAGATTTACCCCAAACACGTCGACTTGGTAAATGAGACACGCCTGTATTCGTCTGCTTCCTCTGACGGTGAAGTGAAGTCTAGGACAGGTGAAGGAGGTATCGGCGGAATAAAAAGGCTACTGAACGAACTTCACACCAGCATGGCTGTAGATTGTTATGATGAAACCCATATTCACCATGAAGGCCAGTATATAACGGTCCATCGCGTCCAGCCACACACAAGGAAGGGTGTTTTGCTCATTGCCCATACCGCTTTCTCTGGCTCCAAGGATGAACACAATCTGGATCCGATTGTTCTGTCCGGAACAAATGCTAAGATGATAGGTGCCTGGAAATTGGAGATCATTTCCTCCAACCGCGATGCAGATACGAACAAAAGGTTTATCAACGGACTTCATAGCAAGGTTTCCGATATTGAAGAAGTCAGCATTGAGAACGATGGTAATAACACTATTATTCGTGTACCAGCAGGCCTTGTCCCTGGGTCTATTGCACTCCTGGAGACCTGGTTGCCAGAAACAAATCTGCTGAAAGATCTGAGTACTTTCATTACGTCTGACGCCGAAGCTGCGTTCAAGTCCCTAGATCCTGTCGATTTAAACTTCGTTCTGTACAAATGCAATCCTGAAGAAAGAGACATAAGCCATGGCTCGGATGGGGTGTATGACATTCCAAACTTTGGCCCACTAGTATACGCCGGGCTCCAGGGATGGTGGAGTGTTCTTGAGGGAGTTATTCGAAATAACGACGTGGGTCATCCTATATGCGATAACCTTCGGAACGGACAGTGGGCTCTCGACTTTATCGTCCGCAGAATGCACAAAGCGGCTTCGAATGAAGGATACGGACGACTGAAGGAACCGGCGGAATGGCTTCAGGGTCGTTTTGATGCCATCAGAAAGCTACCTTCCTTTTTGTTGCCGCGCTGTTTCGCCATCGTTGTCAAAACGGCGTATGAAGCCGCTTTAGCCCGAGGTATCCAGCTCCTTGGTGTTACTATTGAGCATGGTAAGGATATCATTCATGAACTTGCAATGGTTAGCATACAGCAAGTAGGCTTCGTCAATTCCGCATCACTGTACCCAACCAAGCGTGTACCTTGTCTCGCCGCTGGTCTGCCTCACTTCTCAACAGACTGGGCCAGATGCTGGGGAAGGGATGTTTTTATCTCTTTGCGTGGCCTCCTCTTGTGTACAGGAAGATTTGACGAAGCGAAAGAGCATATCCTTGCATTCGCGAGCGTGTTGAAGCATGGGCTCATGCCTAACCTGCTTTCAGACGGAAAGGCACCGCGATATAATGCCCGTGATGCGGTATGGTTCTTCCTGCAGGCTATCCAAGACTATACCAAGATTGTGCCAGATGGAATCCTGGTATTGAATGAGAAAGTCCGTCGTCGATTCTTGCCATATGACGATACATGGTTCTCCCATGACGATAGCCGTGCATATAGTGAAACCTCAACTGTGGCTGAAATTATCCAGGAGATATTTCAACGCCATGCTTCGGGTATCTCATTCCGTGAGTACAACGCAGGTCCTAACCTTGATATGCAGATGAAGAATGAGGGTTTCCAGGTTGATATTCGTGTTGACTGGGAAACTGGTCTGGTATTCGGAGGAAACCAATGGAATTGTGGTACATGGATGGATAAGATGGGCGAAAGTACCAAGAGCGGAAATAAGGGTCATCCAGGAACTCCTCGGGACGGTGCAGCTATTGAAATCAGTGGACTGCTCTATAGCACTCTCTCATGGTTGTCGACTCTCGCAGATAAAGGGAAATTCCCATTTAAAGGCGTTGAAGTTGGCTCTGGAAAATCAATTTCCTATGCAGAATGGGCTGCGAAGATTAAGTCCAACTTTGAGAGGTGCTATTACATCCCCGAAAACCAGGTTGACGATAGCAAATACGACGTCGATAGCAAGATCGTTCATCGACGCGGTATTTATAAAGATCTCTATCGATCCGGTAAGCCATATGAGGATTATCAGTTCCGACCCAACTTTGCTGTTGCCATGACTGTTGCCCCCGAATTATTCACGCTGGAGAAAGCACTCCGTACGCTCGAATTGGCCGATAGCGTCCTCCGTGGACCCATGGGTATGGCGACGCTGGATCCCAAGGATCTCAACTACAACCCATATTATGTGAATTCTGAAGATTCCACCAACTTCGCAACTTCAAAGGGAAGAAACTACCACCAAGGACCAGAATGGCTGTGGCCCACTGGGTACTTCCTGAGGGCCTTGATGAAGTTTGTCCTGATGCGACGGGACAGTCCCCAGGACCACACGGATATATTCCAGCAACTTACAAATCGGCTGGAAGAATGCAAAAAGGCACTTCGCACTAGCCCTTGGAGGGGGCTGACCGAACTGACAAATAAGAATGGCGAGTTGTGTGCAGACTCGGTGAGTTGTTGCTTTCTCTGCCCCTGATTAGCCCCTTTTCTCCCCCGGGTTAATAGCACTAACTGATCTGATTAAACACCTAGTCTCCAACCCAAGCATGGTCTGCCTCGTGCTTGATTGACCTCTACTACGATGCATCGCAGTTGAGGAAGCTGGAATGATAAATAAACTAGAGAAATGTTCTCAGCGTTACGGAGTATCTAGCGTAGGATAATCACAAGAGTCGTTGCCTATTCCTCGCCTTCATCCTTGCTCATGCAAAACGACGTCATCGCCTTGTAGATCCCTGGCAACCCCGATGGGTCACATGACTGGTTATCTTAGGTTTAAGGTTTGGGACAAGATATTTGGGCAGGAAAACAAGATCGAAGCTGCATATAAAAACCACATAGACAAGACGCATCGATGCGGAAGACGCAGCCAGGACTGTGCTCACAGGTGTATATAGCACCGATATACGGCTCCTTGCTCTGATTTGCTTTGCTTTCGCTTCTCCTGGCGCTGGTAGTCGTCCGTCCGCCCGATGACGTCCCGGCCGCCGTCTTCACTCGCAGCCACCACCACCACAAGCGCGCTGGTATATACTTTTGCAAGTGACCAGCCTGATGGACCAAGATACCAGGACCAGACCCGGGGCCAGCGCGATCTGCTCACCCAGATCGTGATCAGCGTCAGCTTTGGGCTCAGCGCATTCATCACATTTTGCGTATGTTTATCATATCAGGCTGGGATCAATTGTGTGAACTAGGATAGCTAACCATAGACTCTCAATCTTCGAACAGTTCCTACGTCCAAAATGGAGCGCTCTCTATGCTGCGAGGCGGAAGATGAGGACCGCTGCATCAAGGCTACCCGACCTCCCTGATTCCTTGTTCGGGTGGATTCCTGTGCTATTTAAGATATCCGATGAGGAAGTCCTTGCTTCAGGGGGGCTCGATGCATTCGTGGTACGTCTACTTCCTTATTTATCATTGGAGGTTGGAATTTACCTTGAAAACTGACATTGCTTGCTATCTATTACAAAAATATAGTTTCTATTGTTCTACAAATACTCCATCCACTTCCTTTCTATCGTCTTTTTCTTCTCCGTTGTCGTGATTCTCCCTGTGCGGTATTCATATACGGGGGAAAGAGGTTACCCCTGGGATGGTGACCGAGGAGATAAACCTGGTGGTGACTCCGATAAGAAGCAGAAAACAGACCCTACTTTCCTCTGGCTATATGTGATATTCTCATACGTGTTTACCGGAGTGGCGGTACACCTCCTTATCCGCTACACGAACAGGGTCATACAGATACGGCAGAAATGTTTAGGAGGACAAACCACCATGGCAGATAGGACAATTAGGCTATCTGGAATACCTGTTGATTTACGATCCGAGGAGAAAATACGGGGTTTCATCGAGGGACTAGAGATTGGAAATGTTGAAAGCGTCATGCTTTGCCGCGATTGGAGAGAGTTGGATAGACTGATGGAAGAAAGAAAGCGCACTCTTCAACGTCTTGAAGAATCATGGGCCAAATATCTCCGTTATCGGAAGAGCAAGCCCGGTGGGTTGGCCAGTCGGACGAACCGGATAGCTCCACAGACTAATACAGGCGATACTGCAGAGGATTCTTGTTTGCTCTCGGATGAGCCTAATACGCATCAGAATTATATATTGGAGAATCCAGGAGTTCGCCCTAGAACCAGGATATGGTTTGGCCCGCTTAAGATCCAGTTCAAATCTATCGATGCGATCGACTACTACGAGGAGAAGCTACGGCAATTGGATGAAAAGATCGAAATTGCTCGCCAGCAGGAGTGTACGCCCGGAGCACTAGCATTTGTTACTATGGAATCCATTGCAGCTTGTCAAATGGCGGTCCAAGCTATCCTTGACCCTTGGCCAATGCAGCTTGTTGCCAATCTAGCACCCGCTCCAGCAGATGTTGTTTGGCAACATACCTATCTATCCCGGGCCGAAAGGATGATACGAGGTTGGACCATTACAACCGTAATTTGTGTTCTGACTGTATTCTGGTCCCTATTACTTATTCCGCTTGCTTACCTTCTCAACTTGGAGACCCTGGAGAAGGTAATTCCCCGGCTTGCAGAGATATTGTCGGAACACCCACTGCTCAGATCCCTGATGCAAACTGGCCTTCCTACATTGACGCTATCTTTGCTCTCGCTGGCAGTTCCATATATATACGACTGTACGTTGACTTCCTTTTTCCCTTAAAATATATTCTCATCCCGGGGCCTTTAGCTAACCACCTTGTTATATTAGGGTTGGCCAATGTGCAAGGAATGACCTCTCAAGGAGATGTTGAACTTTCGGTCATCTCAAAGAATTTCTTTTTTACGTTCTTTAACCTGTTCCTGGTCTTTACCGTCTTTGCTACGGCTTCGAATTTTTACGGTCTTTGGGAAAATCTTCGCGATGTCTTCAAAGATACAACAACCATTGCATTTGCTCTTGCTCGATCCCTTGAGAAACTTGCCCCCTTCTACACCAACCTAATCGTCCTACAGGGCCTGGGACTGTTTCCATTCCGCCTTTTGGAGTTTGGAAGTGTATTCTTATATCCATTCCAACGAATGTTCGCAGTCACCCCTCGCGACTATGCCGATCTACGAAAACCTCCCATCTTTAGCTATGGCTTTGCTCTGCCTCCGACTATCCTTATATTCATAGTCTGTCTTGTGTACAGTGTTTTCCCCAGCTCATGGCTTGTCTGCCTGTTTGGATTGATATACTTCAGCATTGGCCAGTTCATTTACAAATACCAACTTCTATACGCCATGGACCACCAACAGCATTCCACTGGACGAGCATGGCCGATGATATGTAGCCGAATCATACTCGGCTTGGTGGTGTTTCAATTGACTATGATTGGTAGTCTTGCGCTTCGATCAGCTATTACGCGGTCCATCCTGATTGTTCCTCTCCTCGCCGCAACAGTCTGGTTTTCCTACTTTTTCACACGAACTTACGAGCCTCTGATGAAATTCATCGCACTTCGAAGTATCGATCGTAGCCGTGATGCTGACAGCAACCTATCACCGACTCCTAGCTCGAACTTCTCCCCGCCTTCACAGTGGGATAGGGACGCCATACCTCTTCGGTTACGCGGTCGGGATATTGCTCCTAGGTTGAGAAAATACATCAACCCTAACTTGATTATTCCACTTGATCCTGCGTGGATTCCGGGCCAGCCTGAGAATTACGATAATGACCTTGCCTCATTTTCACAAAACGGTATCTCCGTCCCCACTCAAGAAACAGTTTAGAGCTACGCCTTTCTTTTACTTTTATCTCCTTCCAGGAAGACCTACTTCTATTCTAATATTTTTGATACCCCAACGACACCTTAACTCTGTCCATATGTTCCTCTTTTGCCCATAGAAACCATAGTATTACCTCTTAGGCTCTTATTTTGTTCATTAAATTTTTTGTTTACTCGCCCAATATTTATTTACAATATTTCCTTTGTTCGTAACAAGTGATCCCCGGTACCACAAGAGCTGTAACCTACAACTCATCATCCAAGTTTGGCATCTGGGCACAAAAAGAACCGGTTCCACAGACAAGAAAAAGTACTGCCGTCACGAAAAACGGGAGACCCAGAGCAGCCCCTCCAATACTTAAGCCCAGGGTGAAAGTTGCCGCAATTAAAGGAGAAGCAGCTAGTTCTCCTATGATGCTAATAACGGCAAATGATGCATAGAGAGTTGCCACATCGTTCGGCAATACCAGTGAAGTGGCATACGACTTTATTGCAGGATGAAAACCAAACGAGAAGGTAAACAACAGAAGAGCTAAGGCAATTGAGGACGTTAGCAAGCTATATATAAGAGATCGTAGGCTGGCAAGAGGAGGTGACAGACACAAGATTAGGAGTCCAGGAGACGGTGAAATGCCCATCATTATCGGACCTACAATGCTGAATATGGAGCTTACTCGAGCAATCCATAAGTCCATCTGCGCAGACTGCATGCCCCTGCTGGTGAGAAACCTAGTTAATGCAGGAAGAATAATGAGAAAGAGGATGAGATTGATTGCTGCTCTGATAGATATCAGATAGTTTGCCTGTTCCTTGTCAGTCAAGTGCCCATCATTTCAGGCAGGATCTATCGTTTTGGCGTACCTTAGCAAGAGTCCAACCAAAGCGTTTAGATGTATACTGGATCAGGAACTCCAGGGTGTTCCGCCCCAGTGACAGGACCAAGAACGAAGTGGCCACGAAGAGGATGTTGCGGTCGGCCCTGATCATCTTCCAGACATGGGCAAAGGGGGCAATAATATGCTTGGTTGTTGTCTTCACACCTGACCAAAAGTTATATCTTTCTCTTTCCTCACTCCTGGATTCAAAGGAACCGTCGTCTATCGAGAGATCTCCACCATCCTGTACCCGTTTTGCTGTCTCAGGGATCATAAAAAGCACGGCACCTCCGAACAGTTCGAATACCAAGCCAAGGACTAGAGGAGCGTATACGTTCCAATTCTGCATCAGGAGAGAGGCCAGAACAGGGGCAACCATTTCTGTGACGAGAAGGGCAGACGCCAGGTATAAGAAAGCTTGTGCCCTCCGGTCTGCCGGAACAACATCAGAAAGAATTGTATGTGCGACAGCTGCAATAACGATCCCTCCACCCCCGGCTGATTTGAGGATAGACGATATATATATCGATTCATAGGGAATTGAACCCCCCGCCAAACTCACGATCAAGACCCAAATTTCGGACAACATCTGCCCTATAGTTCCCAGAGCAAGGACAAAGACTCTGCCCCTTTTGTTCGCAAGGTTCCCAAATGGTATTGCAAGCATTAATGCTATCAGGCAGGTTTTCAGTAATTGCTCAAGGGACAGATTGTGCAACTAAAGGGCATCACTGTACCAAATATATTTTCAATGACTTTCAGGCGAGCTTTTATAGTTGCTAGCCGGCTCTGAACTTCGCTACCCTTGCACGGGTTAGTTGTGATGCCCGAGAGTATCATACTATCGTGTCCATTGCCATGGTAGTATCCATTGCATATTATTGTCTCGAACAGCTGTGTCTTCGGTGTCAGACGCACGACATCTGCCATGTCCACGGCCAACGCAAAGACATAGCAAAGGAAAGGAATTTCCCATATACTATATGCTTCTGCTATCCATTTCCCGGTACTGTGAGAAAAGTACCACGCTTTCTGGCTATTTTCTGTGGAAGAGGCATTGCAATTCGTTGTAGTGCCGACTGAAGATTGTAGTAATCTTGTTCGCTCATCCATGATAGTTGAAAGGTTAACAAGATACCAAAAGTTCGCCTTAAAATGTTCATGCAAAAATAAATAAATAAACGGCCTTTGCACCCAAAGAAGTACCATTAACTTGTCATTGACTCCAGTTGAGATGCCTTTACTAGCTCGAAGGGTTATTAAATATATGTTGCTGCCTTGGCCGGTTAAGCGGCTGAGATTAACCCTGGCATGTAACGAGTTACTTTGGAAGGATTCATTGCAGCTGCGCCCTACGCAGATGCCCATAACCATACATCTCTTTTTATTACGAAGGGCAGATTTTTTCCTAGGTACGTCTACTTTCACTTCTATGTTAGTTATAAATTTAGAATGGAGATGGCTTATAGAGAAGGTTAGAAATAAGAACTCCGAGAGTAAAAGTTGATTAAATGAGTAGCAAGGAAGTATCTAGGTATCTTTTGAGTAGCCAGCAGAATCGAAGACTAAATTCCAGTATCGCCGTTATTCTATTCGTGGTCTAATCCCTCCATCAGACCACCTTTTTTTTTTCTTGCTTTTCCAATTTCATTGAAACCGAAATATTGAAGTGGCCGTAAAAACAAAATTTTGAAGAGTCAATGGTTAGTGAAACAGCAATTACTCAGCGCCATTAACATTTTGCAAGGACTGTCTCTGCTTAACTGCATTAGCGAGTAAGTCAAGCACAGCCTCTGAGTCCTCCCAGTTGATACAAGCGTCTGTAATGCTGACACCATATTTGAGTCCTGCTTTGCCCTCCGGTGGGACCTTCTGGTTGCCTACACAGAACGAAGACTATCAGCCAGACCGTTGCTAGAGGAGACATAGCTCAGGAACTTTAGCTGTCGATAACGTACCTTCGTTGATGTTACTTTCAATCATGACTCCCATGATCCCTTCCTCGCCAGCAGCTATCTGTTCAGCAAGGACGGCAGCCACCTTGGGCTGGTTCTTGTGGTTCTTCTGTGAGTTTCCGTGGCTGCAGTCAACCATGAGCCGTTGAGATAGGCCCTTCTCTGCCAGCTTTGCCTTGGCCTCTTTTATGCTCTTTGCGTCGAAATTGGTTCCACTCTTGCCTCCACGAAGAATGACGAAGCAGTCCTCGTTACCAACTGTGCCGACGATGGAGACCACACCTGGCTTTGTGACAGAGAGGAAGTGATGGGGGTGTTTGACAGCTCCAATTGCATCAACGGCAACATCCAGAGAGCCATCTGTGCCGTTCTTGAAACCAACGGGGAAAGACAGTCCACTAGCCAATTCACGGTGGAGCTGAGACTCAGTGGTTCGGGCACCAATTGCGCCGACAGAAAGCAGATCAGCAAGGAATTGAGGGGAGATAGTGTCCAGCATTTCACTGGCAAGAGGCATTCCTTTCTCGGTCAAGTCAACAAACAAACGGCGAGCAGTTCTCAGCCCCTTGTTGATCTGGAAGGAGTTGTCGATATCCGGGTCATTGATGAGTCCCTTCCAGCCAACAGTGGTTCGTGGCTTTTCAAGATAGGAACGCATAACAATCATGAGCTGGTCCTTGTGCTTTTCTTTCATTTTCACCAGGCGGTCGCAGTAGTCCAGAGCAGCTTGCGGGTCATGGATAGAGCATGGTCCGATGATGACGAGGAGACGGCCTTTGGCATCCTCGCCCCTAACAATGGCCGCAGCTTCTTCTCGCGAGGTGACGACTGTGCCCTTGGACTCATTTGTTTGCGAAATCTCATGTTGCAGGAGATTCGGTGGTGTGAGAGGGTTGTACCCCAGAACTATCAATGACAGAATGAAGAGTCAATTTCAGGCTCACGATGCCCAGGTGTATTCGAGCAACTTACCTCTCCAGTCCTCAACCTGGTTCTTTTTACCAACGTTGGGGTTTTCTATGTACCACTGTGACTGCTGGCCGTCAGTTCATGGATATCTTGATCGTGGGGAAGTTTTAGCAGCCATGGTGGGATGACTCACCGACATCGCAGCTATCCTGTTGGTGTATGTAGGAGAAACGGAAGGCAAAGCAGAGAGTGGTGAGGTGACTGCTTGTGTTTACTTAGGAATATTCAGTGTATCTCACTCCTCCTCGGGATGTCAGGTCTATTGTGAAAGATATGGCGGAATATGCGAAGAGAAAATTATTTGGTGGTCGAGTTTGTCGAGCTGATGGAACGAACAGCCTTGACTAACTAAATAACTGGTTGCTATTTGAACGTCATAACTAATGCCACCCACCACACGCAGCGCGGAGCAGGCACTATTTCTTCAAGGCCGCCTCCCACATGAATAACGGCGGTAGGCAGCCGCACCCATATAACTAACTAATGGCTTTGTCCTACTTTGCAGGCATTCAATTGCTTGTTTCCCTTGTATAGACTCAACACACGTCTCGCTAGGTAAAGCGCGAGAGCAGCTGGTGGCTTAAGGTCTTTTCTCCCTCTCACAAGATCGGACTCCCTAGCAGGGATCCTGCCGCTGAAGCTCTTCGGGTCCCGACCTCGGCCCGCTAGTTGTCTGGTGAAAGTGAAACCTGCGTATTCTCGTTAGCTACCTGTTAGTAATGCACAGTTGGCAGCTGGAGCAAGCCTCTTAGCCTGTGAGCGCCAGGCACAGGGCCACCCAGGCAGCGAGTAAGGATGCATGTTGCTTATATCCAAAGAGCATGACAATCTATCCGCCGTACGGAGTACTCCGTGGGCCATCACGAAACCTCAATCTCTTTATCCTAAGAATATCAATAATAATGGCCTAATCATCAACTCTTCGAAGCAATAATTTCTATTTTTTTTTCTCTTTTTCTTTTTCTTTTTTTTTATGATCAGTTGATTACATAACCAACAAGTCTACTTCGCAGCTGTCTTTCACGTGATTATATATTACATAATGCAAACTCTGTGCTCCATTCATTTAGGTCATGTGATAGATCTTGTCAGAGTGAATCGGAGGCTCAACTGTGTCATTCACATAAGAATAACTGAATCTTGCTGGAAATTTCTCTTCAAAAGAGCTTCGAATGTTCTTCGAACAAGCCCTTATCGGTTGAATTTCCTGTCTGGCTGGTTTTTTCGTCAAGAACCGGTCCGTGGACTCCATACAAGACACCCGGGATAGTTACACCAAGAGTTGAGCCGCAGTTTCAGCCTCATGGAAGCTCCATTTCCGTATCCACATATCCCTAAAGCTGCCCAAGACAGAACTGCCGACACGCTGACCGGGCCGTTTGCATCAGAGCCCTTTCGTGTGCAGCGGCTTGTCCCTAGTAAGCTTGCCTACTTGCATATTCAAGGATATTCAGGGTATTATTTTAACACACCAACAGAAACAAGTTCACGAGAATGGGGAGATCCTACAGCAGCGACTGTACGCTCCACTCAAGAGCCCATCGTCACTGCTGAAAATGAGGAGCTCTTCCGCACGTATCACCCTTCCTTAGCGTTAGCCACTTGCGTTATGGCCGTGAGACTCCGAAGGAGTGAGCCCTACAGCTAGGTCATCGTGCTAGGCCCGAATACTGATACCAGCAGCGTCGGAACTCACGTTGGAGGCAGAGAAATACACTTCCGCCCGGCCTTTATCTCTCCATGGCGTGAGGGAGTACTGATAGTCGGACATCCTGGGCCACCGAGGTTACCCGTAAATACTAGGCGGATGTTAACAGCCAAAGATTTAAATAATATACGATTATATTGGCCAAGGTCTAGGGGCATAAGGATACTTATTTCCGGAGTCGCCCTGCTTATATATGCTAACAAAAGCGATATTCACTATGATATAGACCGGTGTCCTATGACCTTCGGTGAGTTAGAGGTTGGATACGTTGTGCAAGATCACCTCCCTCTTCCTGCTTCTTCTACATTATGACTACGATTACGGCTAGCGAACGACGTTGAAGCCCTTACAGTTCTCACCCACGCATTTATTCCTGAGAGAAGAAACACTCTTGTTGGATATCTATACACTTATTTTACTGCTGCCCTGAAGAATTTATGGAGATTTATCCCCTTTACCAAATCGGGCTTTGAAGGCCCAGATACAGTCGCATACCGCTCTTCAGTTGGAAAGGCTGTGTCGCTTGACAATACTGACACTAAGGTAGTATCTCCATCTCTGCCTGCCATAAGCAAGTTCCTAAATATTTTTATCTAGGCGGGAACGATTGTATCCATATATGATGAGCCCCATTTATTACGGCCTACCCAGCTGGATACATACACGATCTCTCACTAGTTACGGGCAAGTTGCCTAATATCATACCACCTGGTAATATACAAGAAATGCAATGGGCCGAGTATCAAGACGCCCTCGATAATGCAGGCTCTGCATTTATTTGCAGGTTCGACTCCCCGAATGATTACGGGGCCGCACGACGTGGTCGTATTTCTGCCGAGCAAGCTCCACGTGCAGTTTTGGAAGGAACGGAATATCTCTGGGACAGAGACAACCTAACGTCAAGTGCTGCGCTAATTTGGCGGACTGTCCCTGCGGATCTTGATCTAAAAGTCTGGTCTGGCTGTGCTTTGTGCCTAGGAAATCCTTCCGATAAGGTAGTCCAAGTAGTTGCCTTACACAACTTTCAGTCCATGATTCAGAAAGCTAAGACAGATTCAGGACCAAACGAGCCTACGACGCCTGACTATTATAAGGGTGGGTTCGTCTTGCCGGGAGAAATAAGACAAGCAGATATCATTCTTTCTCCGCAGGAAATTCCTGTGAGGAGAAAATTTCAATCTACGCCACTCTCGGATTGTGCTGCTCGTCGGTATGCAGTAAAGGAGTTTATCCCTCCCTGGAAGATTAGAGGCGGCTAAGTCGCATATTAAGTGCATCAGAGGATCAACCAACTTGAGGGTTTCATACATGAATGATCCCTTTCATATATAATGTGCCTTATTTTTCCTCATTACTACCTGTCAAACGGCTGAGCCAAATAGGGGAGCCCACTAATCGCGGCTGAGAGACTACCTCATTATTCTATTGACACGACCTATTTCCCCCTAATATAATAAAATATATTCAAATAAAATATTGGATTCTTTTGGGAAAGCCCTCGCCCTAGTGTTTTTACAACATAATACTAGAATACAATTTGTAAAACTGAATGCATAGTAACTTCATTTTAGTAAGCTTGATATGAGTCGTATCATCCTCATAAATATAACTAAGTCAGTAAAGGTAAGTAGTTACATACAGTTTTAGATAATTGATATTTGTTCAGATATAGTCGATGAATAGTTTAAGAGCTCAAGTGTTGATCTTGCCTTATGTTAGAAATAACCTACCTAAGTATTTGTTGACTTAATTAGTCTTGACTTGTATTCATCAATCGCCGAATTAATTTCGCCATTAAGCCGCTGACCTCTGTTAGCAGCGGTAGGTAGAGTTGAGGATGCCTTGTGTATAGATTCAAGATCATTCGCTAATCTTTTAGAGAAATTCTCAAACATTCCTAGAAACCTTTTCTTGATTGGCCTGAGAGCGTGTTCACTTTGGTCAAGCTTTTCTGAATGGATTTCCTCAAGCTGATCGATCATCCTAGTACAGCCAACTCGGTAAATGTCCACCGATTTATATAATCTATTTTCACTCTCCCATAACTCACGGGAGAGTTGCTATTTGAAAGTGTTGGTTAGCATTGGGAAGGAATATCAACATACGGGGGATAAGGGGAGAATATGTAGGAGTTACTTTGGTACTTACTTTACTCGTATCACTCAGAATATCTCCTCCCTCTCTGTAGTTGTCCCGTAAGTGTTTCTCCCACTCATGGCCTTGACATTCTACATATTCTGAACACTCTGGTAGATATCGCGGGGGCGAACATTCGTCATCAGTCTCTGCCTCTATGTTTACGGCATCTTCGTCATTCTGTATGGCCTTGAATGGCTTCGAGTCTCTGACATCTATATGGTGTGTCTTGCCCATGGTTCGTGGTATTGGATTGTGTTGATGAGCTTTCAGCCGCTGCATCAAATCAAATGACTTCTTATACGATGAGGTAGCAGACTTATTCTGACCCTCAAATTTTCCACGGTGTATCTTCTGATCATAGAATAAATCATTTGCTCTCATAGAACGACACCGCCGGCTGTGCCTCTCCTCCGATGCAAACATATTTGATGATTGAAACGAATGCCTGTCAGTTATGTCTCTGTTGGCACCCCTCTTCAAGTGATTATATGCTGGTGGATTCAAGGTAGTCATTCCTTGATGTTGCGAAGGCTCTGAGATTGCAGGTGGCATATCTATGTGAGGGGCGACTTTTGGTTTATCTGTTCCATCTAGCATCCCAAGGACACGCTGGCTATAATTTTTTCTCGCATGTTGCAGCCGTGGTATTGGGCTTCCATTTTCGTCAACCGTTCGAGACTGCCATCCAATCTGTTTTGTGCGTACTGAAGTGTACTTCAGTAACTCATCCAAGGAACTGGAGGTTAGATCCTCGTCTTCATCCCCGGTATTTTCTAAGGCCATAGGAGCATCATCATTCGTTAAGCTTCGCAGTGCCGAACTACTCTCCTTCCTCATTGCTAAATCCAATACGGCTTTACCATCGATTGAATTCGCATTGTCTGATGGCCCAGTACTAGATGTAGGAGTATGGCCTGCTCCCAAATCAAACTTAACGGACCGGGTTGGTTTTTGCTGTTCATACCTTGTTGTTGTCATTGGAGGTATTTGTGTCTGCACTACATTTGCGGTTCGATTACCGTTTTGCAAAGATAAAGTATTAGAGTTAACCTCATCTGACTTTGAGGTTGGTTTTCCTTGATCCTTTGATTTCTCTTGACCCGATTTGCGAGCGTTCGAGGAGATAATCGGTTTCTGCGCTGACAGTTGGTTGCGAGACATGAATTGACGCACATTTTTGGAAACTTGAGAAGCATCACCTCTTTCTCGTTTTCTCCGATTTACTGGGTTCAGTGTAGTATCTGCGCCTTCTTTCTTTTCCGAAAGTTTGGTTGTTCGTCTTTCCTTAACAGGCGCAGGTCCTATGGCAGCTGGTTCTCATTTGTAGGAGACACACCTCCAGTTGCGGGTGTGCCTCCAGTCTGATTAGAAACGCACTGTTCTCGTGGTTGCTGATGGAGCGGCTGAGATTGTAGAGGACGGCTGGATTGCAAGGATAATTGTGACGCGGATAGAACCTCCTCGCCGGTTGGAAGTTCAATTATGGCAGAAGAAGAGGGTTGTCGATGGGATTCTTGCCACAGCATGCATCCAGCATCATGGTCGCTGTCCGCATGGATAGATATATGGAGGCCGATAGGAGCTTCTGGTTCAAAGTCATTAACACAATCATGGAAAGCAATAATCGCCATTGCCCCTTCCTTCGCCCGTTTATATAAGGGTGTCTCGTTGTCTCTGGTGGTTAACTCTAAAGGCGTATAATATTTAGTACCGTGTAAATATATGCTATGATAATGATTTCCTTACCTATTATATTTCTGACAGCCTTTATTGCTGCTTCCACATGACGAGGAGTTTCCATCCCAATGAGGATGTTATTCGAATATTGTTCGACTCCATTCACCACTAAGTAACACCTTTGCCCAAGGATGATTCTCAGTTTATTGCCCTTTGCTTCTGTGCCCTTTATAGAGGCCAGGGGGATATCTATGAGGTTAAATCGGTATTTATCCATGCTCAGGACAATAACGCTACTTTGGGACACCGTAAAAAAAAGGCAATCCGCTGCGATAGTATATCCCTCTAATCCTTCAATGGAAACAGCCAGGGCGCAAAATGAGTGCTGACGTGGTTTAATGCGGTCGGATATAATCTTCATAGCTTCCTTGAGCCATTGGGAGTTCCGGTTCGGTAGAAGAAACCCTAGGCTCTTCTTGAGTAAATTGATCCGGCTATCAATCGCAGATAGTTCTGAAAGCTTAGGTTCACAAATAGCTACTTCTCTCATAATGGCTGCAGCAATAATCCTAAGGCATTGATCGTCATCCTCGAAAAGAACGTCTAGTATCCCCCTAACTCGGCCGTTAGGACCTAAATCTCATAGAAGGGCTAGCTTATAAGGACATCCTACCGTATCCCATCCGGCATAGATATAAGAAAATGTTTGTTTTTGTCAAATTGAAGGATCATTTCCATTATGAATTGCCCGGCCTATATTGCATTAGACGGCTTGCTTTAGTATATGCGATTCATGGGAGCGTATACCCATTTCCTCGGCGCCGGGTGCTTTGCGCGTGTAAAGCACTGCACAAGCTGAAAACAAATCTTCTGGCAAAGAACTGTTTTACGTCGGTGAGCCGTTGAAATAGCCTCTTGACTCAATTTCTGGCGCAGGATATCGGACAATTCAGCCATTGAGTCCTGTAATAATTATTAGAAAGGGGTAACCTGACAGAAATTTAGATACCTACAAGAAGTAGATAAAGACCCCTTTCCCGGTGCACACATGGTGGAGCATGTAGGAAAAGAAGAAAGATGCACTGGAAAGATACAATGTCAAGTCTGGAACAGTGTCTCCGGCTTGGAGATTCTGCAAGTATCTGGACGAGCGTGTAGAGGTCATCTTGGCGCAGACACGGAGTAGACTGAAGGATATCGTTGACAATGCTAATAGGTATTCTATGGGTAAATCATCAGGTCCAGCCAAGGAAAAACAATAATATGGTCACAGAACAGGCTTGTATCAACTAACATCACGATATCACTCCTCGTTGCGCGTCGGACTGCTAGTTGAAGGTACGTAATTAGCCTGCTGACAGCTGGAGGTTGTTTTGGCACACCCAAGTGTGCCTGCGGTCTCATAGCCATGCAGTAGGCTTCCTTTGAGTCTTTTTAAAACAGCACACGAAGGAAACCTTTAAGAAAACTAGATCGAGTAGACGATCTACTCTGGATGCTCGAAAGCAAAGAAGGACAAAGGGGCCACAAACTACATCTTACGCAGTCAATCTTGGAAGTCGTAAGGACGCCCGTGTGGCAGAATAACCCTCGGCCCCAAAGCGGCAGGCGGTGTCATCTGTATTCTATGTCGAGCAACCATCTCGAGAGACAACACCAACTATCGAACATCCTCCCTGTCATCGCCTGCAGATGAAGCCAGAGAGGTACCATGCTATGTTACGCGATCGATAGCACAGATTTGGCGGGATAAAAGAGGATAATAACCCTGGAGAGGGTGATTTGGCAGACGGTCGTCAGCAAGGGAGCAAGGCAGTCGCCCAGGTAGGTAGGTCAACCATTCTTCATTCTCACAAGTCAGAGGTTTTGATATTAAAACAGAGTAACTAGCAGGATGACCATCCCTGAGGCCGGCGAGCGCCAAATGTTGGAAGGGTCTGCTGGGTTTCCCAGACCGTCCAACAATATGTGGAAGCATTAGGTGACTTTCCAGAGTTCGTGCTGGATGTTGGACTAGTTAGTTACTGACACTGCAATTGTGGCGGATACTAATGACTTTTCAGCTCGGCCCCTGTCGATGGATCGAAAAGAAGGGACACCAAATTAGACGACATCCGGAGTAACCGGGGCGTTTCGCAACTCCGTCTGGACAAGCAATCAAGGCGGAGCGACGAAACTAGCCAAGGCTCAATAATATGTGTGATGTTATTTACTTCCGGTGTATAAACGTTGTTGACTGTTGGCCCGAGTCCGACGGATCTGAATCTCCATCCATGCCGGTCAGACGGGCTAAAATTTCGGACGAATCTAGAGTCAAACACCAACAATTAAACATCGTCTTTTTGCTTACGAGCTGGCATGGGAGCCTTGCCTCGTCCCCAACACCTAGTTATGGCGCAGCAGATGTCTATAAATATTGGACCTCAGTCGGCTTTCTACATATACGCATAACTCTTGATAGAAGTACACTCAATCAGAAACACGGTCTGCATTATGACAATGAAAGAAGCCCCAGAGGACAAACGAGCCGAGCTCGAGACACAAGCTTCGATTGGTGCGGCATGGGATTTCGTCTGCTATCAAACGGCGGCTGTCCATCAACCAACCGCAACAGCCAGAGATTTCGATAATACCGCATACATCCACCGACAGACAACATGCTGCTGCCCATGACGAAGCAATTAGCATCCATGCCTTGGAAGCAGAGCGAGAGCTCATTTCCGAAGAGCCTGACAAAAAGGCCCTCCTGGAGGAGGAGGAAACCCAGAAGACTATCCTATACCTCGCATATGGATCAAACATGTGCGCCCAGACATTCCGCAAGACCCGCAAAGTCACTCCTCTTTCACAAGCGAATGTCTACGTCCCGAACCTCTGTCTTACCTTCGATCTCCCTGGAGTTGCATATCTCGAGCCATGCTTTGCAGGAACACAATATCGTGACCAAAAGACCGGCATGCCGATTTACCCTGGAAAACCGCAGAGCCCAAGTGATGGAGAGGGTCTCTGGCATAAACCACTTGTTGGAGTTGTATATGAGGTTACCATGAAGGATTATGCGCGCATAATAGCTACAGAGGGCGGCGGAGCGTCCTATGTTGATGTTGTCATTGATTGCCATCCATTCCCTGAAGATTATGATCCTGCAAAGCCGGTACCTGATATACCGGATACGGAACCTTTTAAAGCACATACTCTTCTCTCGCCCGCTACTGCTGGAAAGAGCCATCGCAAAGGTACTGAAAAGAAATCGTCACTATTTAACGCCAGATTTAATAGAAGCCGACCTAATTATGCCCGCCCTTCGCCACGTTATATGAAGCTTCTAATCACGGGTGCAGAGGAGCATGATCTACCAGCAGAATATCGACAATACCTTGCATCTGTCGAGCCGTATCGACCTACTACCTCCAGGCAGCGTGTAGGCCAATTTATATTCGGTGTCGTTTGGGTGCCGCCGCTTTTGCTTAACCTGAGGCTCAATGCAATTTTTGCCAACGAGGATGGGAAAGCGCCAGGATGGCTAGCTGTATTCCAGCGATATATCTTTGCAGGAGCATGGGTGACTTATGATTATGCTTTTAAGTATATATTTGGAGACGGCGAAAGGACCATTCCTCAGCGCACAGGCGTGAAAGTAGAATGATCACCGCGATTGTAGCATAATAATAATAGACCAGTAGCGATAGACTTGTCTTGTATGCAATACTATTTATTTACCAGTTAGTTACACTTTCCCACATTATTAGTTTGGTTAACATAAAACCTTCACTGGCCCAGGGCTATTATACTCTGAGGCATTCAACTGTTAAGTAGTAAGAGACAAAACGCTTCACTCAAAGCCGAGTGAAATGAGTCTGTATAACCGACGGTTAACTGGATGCCAGTATTCCCTCGAACTGAATGAATACTCAATACAGTAAGGAGTCGATGCGCCTATGACTGAGAGGAGCACTGGAAGGGACAAAGGAAAGAGCAATTGTGGTTCTAGACGTGGAAAAGGAAAGGAAGAGCACAGTTTATAAATACATAAGATTGATAATTTCACAAAACTTAGCCCTGATTTTATGGTCACTCCCCAGTCCTCCCACTCTCTAAAGATGCGGAGAAAAATTTGAAAAAAAGTATGAAGCATGTGTGGTATGGGGGGTTAGGGTACAATCACAAAGTATTCAGAGATGGTCGGCATTGGCTTTATTTCGGTAGTTAGCCCTGGACTCGTATCCTATTTATCGCCGAGGGCCAATTGGTGGGTTGTAGACAATCTTTCTTGTTTTTATAGTGGCCCACTTGTATCGCTTGACCCAGACACTGATGGCAAAGAGAGTGCTGAGAAGGACTACAGCCTTCATGCCCATCTTCTTTCGATCATCCATCTCGGGTTCGGCAGCCCAGTTGAGGAACTCAGTAACATCCTTGGCCATTTGGGAGGTGGTAGCAGGGGTTCCATCTTCATATTCGACAAGACCATCGAAAAGAACACGGGCCATAGCGATTCCTGTATTCTTCATGTGAGTATATAGCATGTTACGGCGTTAACGTCAATAATTTGTTTGATATTCATACCTGTACCGGGGAAGTAGGGGTTGAAGTTCAATCCTTCCTGAACGCTGGCGCCAGCTGGGGGCTCCTCAGGATAGCCGGTCAAGAGCGAGAAGATGTAGTCGCAGCCACCGTGTCTGCCCTTGACAATCAAGCTGAGATCTGGGGGCAAGGCACCGTTATTGGCAGCTCTGGCGGCTTCGTCGTTCTTGTAGGGAGCCGGGATGTAATCGGACAGCTTTCCAGGACGCTTCTCAATCTCACCCTCGTCGTTGGGCTCGGTGTCGTACTCGTGTTCCTCAGCCATTGCCTTCATCTCGTCGACAGTGTGCATGACACCAACAAATGATCGCCATGGGACACGGCTGAGAGAATGGCACTGAGCACAAACTTCACGGTAAACGAGGAAACCACGGCGAAGGCTGTTCAGATAATGAAAAGATCAAATTAGACAAGACCTGGGCGAGATAAGTTGCGGCCAGAGGAATCGAAGAACTCACGCTGCATGATCGAAGGTCTTGAGCCACTTGCTGTGTTCCCAAGGGTACTGGGTAGCGTGGAGACTATTTTTGATATCACGCCTGTTAGTGATGCTACATTGAAATATCGAACGTTTCAAGGTCAATTGAAGCAAGTAGACAGTGTGGCATACCCCTCCTCAGCAGGAGTCATGGCAAAGGCTTCATCTCCATAGAGATGATAATACCAGGCCATAGAGCCGATGGCAGTGGCCGTAGCTGCCGATGCGGTTAAGGTCAGGTAAAATGGAGACTGTGTTTGCGAGCCAGAAGCGGTGGAGGACGATCTCTGGGAGGAAGAGTCAGCGGTGATCTACAAAATTCCATGAAGAGGCCGTCATATAGAGAACTGTATGCTTCGACAACAGGCGCAATGGCTCTCTGTTCGAGGAATGGGTGAGGTGGTGCAATGTACCTTTGCAGCCTGCTGGAAGCATTGCCTGGAGATGGCCTTCGACGGCACACTCCGCAAGACAGATCGGGCCAACAT